CCTTTTCCTCCAGAGCTGTGGCCACCACCAGAGATGGATCCTCCACTTCCTCCTCCCCCATACCCTGAGCCTTTCCCTCCTCCTCCAGAAATGGACCCACCACTACCAGAGCTGGATCCGCCTCCCCCAGAGCTGCTGCCTTTCCCTTCCCCAGCGATCGACCCTTTCGTTCTGTTTTTGCCGACACCGCCAGAGCTCGGCCCCCCCTTTACACTTTCCAAGCCTGCAGATCCTACTCCGTAGACTCCAGTAGCACTTGCGTGGTCAATGACACCTGCAAGAAATGGAAATGACCCAAAATTTACTGAGAAATATTATAAGTACAACTGATATTAAGTACTTATGTCCAGGTGTCATTGTACCTACTCTAGTGGTCACAGTGATATCTTTGAAGAGGGGCAACAAGGATCTTCATTAGTGTATGTACCTATGAAACATTTTCTCCTGTGGTTCTGGCTTTATTAGCTTATCTTTGACATGACTTACGCCTTACTCCGTACATGAACACTGCAGCCCTTCCTTTAAGAAAGCCAAGAGTATGGCTTTCTCTTGCCTTTGGCTGGCCTCCTATTTCCACTAGATTTTTTTTTTCCCTTCAGTTCTGGCATGCACTGCATAGACCTATGGAGTAAGTGAAGTGTTTCCCACTTCCTACAAATTTGGTTGTAATTAGCCAATAGGTTTCAAAGTTACTAGCTCCGTGTTGACATATTAATGCGTATACACGTATATTCACAGATACACACTCACCAGAGACTCCCTTCTGCTTCATCTCCCTCAGAAACTAAGGTAGGAGCTAAGATAGGTTGTTCTGATGGTAGGTGTTAAGTACCACAAACAGCAAAATGGTAACTGTGCTCTTGAAAAAGACAAAGCAAACCCTTGAGATACTTACAGATGGTGGTTGGTGAGCCTTCCTGTATCCTGTGGAGGAAAAGTGACATTGAGGTAATGCATCCAATAAAAGTAAAGTTGGCCTAGGTCCTATCGGGAAGCCAGTGGAAGAGGTCACTTCTTCCAGGCAGCAGCTCCTCCTGGAGCTCTCAGTGACAGACAGGAGAGTGGAACAGGCTGCTCTCTACAGGTGCTTCTATCTGGGATGAGTCGTTTGTACCCACCTGCTCTCCTCCTCCTCGAGGAGTGATCTGTACATGGCGATTTCAACATCCAGGGCCAATTTCACGTTCAGGAGCTCCTGATAATCACGAAGAAGGCGAACGAGATCATCTTTGGCCTGCTGCAGGGCATTTTCCAACTCCTGAAGCTTTTCCTGGCCGCTTCTGACGGCAGAGCTCCCACGCTGCTCAGCATCTCTAACGGTTTCTCGGAGGCTGGCATTCTGCAGAGGCACAAACAGAATGTGTCCCTTTCCCTTCTACAGGACTGGGATCTTCAAACCCTTCTGGCAGTCCTTGGAAATTAAAAGACCTGCCTCAAGGACGGGACTCAGAAGATACATTAGACTGGGAAAGTTAACCCAAATTACATCCTAATGTAGACATCCAAAATCTAAATCTGCTTCATTTTGAAGAGAAAACATCATCTCTAGGCTTCCCTCAAAAGCACAGGCTACGTTACATTGCACCGAGTCCCCAGGCACAAGTGACTTGGATAGTTCAGTCATGTTGGAAAGTATCACCTTTACCTTTTTCTTTGCAAATTCAATTTCTGCTTGTATTCTTTCGATCTGCCTGATGAGTTCCTGGACTTCCTGATAACTGTTCCTCAGCTGCTCACGTTGGTTCACCCACATGTTCTGAAGGTCCTGGTACTGATGTGCAGAGAGGAGAACAGACATTTTTGGTTTCTTTTCCATGGAGCAGACAGACTTGCCTCCCTGTTTTGTTGGTGTCTACTCACCCTGCCCCGATACATGGCATCTACTTCAGCTTTGCTTCTCTGAGCAATTGTCTCGTACTCCTGCCTGACTTCTTCAATGATGCCATCCATGTTCAGTTCTCTATCATTGTCCATGGACAGGATGACATCGGTGTTGCCGGCTACTGTTTGCAGCTGGGACAGCTCCTGCAAGGAAAACAAGATTTTGGATTTTAACAGTCCATGTGAGCAGTCCAGGTCCTGTTATGAAGAAAGCAATGGGACCCTCTGGCCAGTTTCCCACTGGAACTTCCCTACCTGCATCCCCCAGGTCCTGTTGTTCCACCACCGGTTTTAAGTTTCAAGTGTCTCTTCAGCCTTCATGACACACCAGACCCCCCTTTCACTCACAGATTAAAAAGGATTTGATAAGATCAAAGACCAAGGATGACCCACTCTCCACACCAGAAAGTCCTGTTTAGGCAAAAATTTCTGGGAACCTCCAAAAGATACATGTCCTTCAAGACCTGAGGGTAAGTTTTGAATCAAAGAAGCATACTCACAGCTTCATGTAAGCATCTGAGGAACTCAAGCTCCTGCTTCAGTATTTCCACCCGAACATCAAACTCCATTTTTCCCATGTAGGCACTGTCCAGTTCCTGTAAAAAAAGCCGTAGGCATATTTGTATTTCTTTGATCCAAATTCTCCACTGAAGTGCAATTCTTGCAAGACTTGGTACATTTCCTTAAAGCCTTCATTCCTGGAGTCAAATAATGGCCCATGAACCTCAGATGCCATTTGAAAAGCAATTGGAACAAAGGGAAAGTTTTTAACTCTTAGAAGAAAAGAATGGCTTGGAAATAGGGAAAATAGCTGTGGCCATTTTCCTGGAGAAAATGCAAAACCTAGAAACATAGATTACATGAGTTCTTCTAATAAAAAGTTGACAAAATGTTCTGTTCTCTTAAGTCACGTGTAGGCATTATTTAAGTCCTTGCAGTAAAAAGCTCAGGTTTTCCATGGCTTCAGTTAGAGGAGAGTTAGACGAAGCTAAGCAAAGACCTTGCTTTTGAAAACCTCAGCACCCATCCCGTTATTGATCTGTTTCTGAGGCTTTGATTTAGCTCAGTGTCTTGGATTGCTTCACCTTTTTGAGCTCCACAAACTCCTCTTCTTTAGACGCACGCTTGTTGATCTCATCCTCGAATCTGTTGCAGCAGAGAAAAGAAATAGGTAGCTCATCAACTCTTATCTTACTTTTTCAGTCAAGTGGATCAGAAACCAAAGGGAATGTGTCGAGTTTTCATTTATCTGCAGTTTCTGGCAACTTCAAAGGCCATTGCAAACCCTCTGCAGACCTTTATGCTAAATTGCCCAACAAAATGTGACAGATACAGATCGGTTCTAACATCCCTGTAATTCTGAACCAAACTTCCCATTTTTCAGAGCTGTGGGTATATATCATCTTTTGGGTGCAGCTAAGCCAGAAGAAGCGACGACTCTTCTTGACTTGACCCCACTGCTCAGATCTGTCCCTCCCCTCCCCACTGTCCGGGTTGACCACAACTCCGCAACTACCAGCAGCAGTGAGGACTCCTGGGTTACTCATTGCTTGGGGGAGGAAGGGCATGAAGGACAGGAGGAGAGAAGAGTGGGAGGGTAGATCTACAGGGCCTTTCATTTTCCTCTTACTGTTCTGGGTTCTACCCTCGCCACATCTGCTTTAGGCGTCAAAGTCAAGTCCCATCATGACCCTGCTGCAGAGTGGTGCTATAGTGGCTACAAAACTCTCGAAGGCATGAAGCTAAGCTATGCCACCCCAGGAACTTGGAAAATTCCAGTATGCTTTTTCACAGATTTGTGATTATTCACCTCTTTTTATAATCTTCAACAAGCTGAAGCATCCTGTACGCTTCCGGATCCAGCTGCTCCTTCTGGTTCTGGAGCGTTTCTAGCTGCCTCTGCAGGGTGCTGATATAAGCTTGGAAGAAAGAGGCGATATTTCTGCTCTCTTCTGGTCGGGAGCTTTGCTGCTGCAGAAGTTCCCACTTGGCCATCAGAGCCTGGTTCTGCCGCTCGAGACATTGCACCTGAAAGGCAAAGGTCAGAGCCACTGGTGAGCACTGGGGGAGACACCAACATCAGCACGAGTCCCTCTAGCAAAACAAATCCTAGTTAGTATTTCCAATGCAGGATAGTCCAGAGGTTTCATCAGGTGGGACCAGGTACCAGCACTGGCACCAGCACGCGAGGCAGCTTAGGCTGAAGGGAGGACACCTCTTTTTTCCCAGCCTGTGGCATAAGAAGGGTGTGATTTTACTGCTGCTCCTCAAAGCTGATGCTGACATCTTTGCTGGCTTTTCCTCTCTTGAATGCACAATATCTAGGGAGATGCTTGGGGTGGAGAGAAACTTCAGCTGTTTCTGAAGTACCTTAGACACCCAAATACACAAGGACAGTTAACCCTTTCTCAGAGGACCACAGAGGACCACTCTCTTCCTAGATAGACCTTGCCTTAGAAAAGAAGGTCATAAAGACCTATAACATGCAGAGCTGGTATTTTTGGAAACCAGAGGGGTAGCATGTCTTCAGCTGGGACACTGAAGAGATTATAATCTGGAAGCTGGCATCCAGAAGGTTTCAGAAAAGAAAAAAAAAAAAAAAAAAAAAAAAGCCAAAGGCACTCCTATTTTTCAGGACTAAGGACACTTAAAATTCTGGGTGTAACCAACACTTTTCTGTAGGGCAATATAAGGAGCCCTTAAGTCTTCACATGTGACAAATAATACAAGTTTCCACCCTGTGCAGAGGCACATGTCAGCACCCAAACAAAGGCACATGTCAGGTCTGCGTGGGTGGAAGTGTTCTTGTGGCTGTTTTATTCCTGTGTCTCTGAGTAGAAACGAAAGAGAAGACAAGACTGGAGACAGAGGTGGAAGTATTGTAGCACAAACCAAGAAAGACGTAAAGAAGAAAGGTGTGGGGGCCACTGGCCACCTCAAAGGGGCTCAGACCTCCAAGCAAAGAAGTAATTTGCTTTGTGATTTGGAGATAGGCAACATTTTGCTTTGCTTGAGAAAAAGAAACAGAGCACATCAACTATGTCCAAGTCCCTCACCCATTTTTCCTGCTAGCACCAGCATTTCCCAGGCACCAGAATATTAGTGGCCATGCAGAAACCCTTTTCCTCAAAAGAGAAGTGAGTTAATGTGTCAGTGACATCCCAGTAGTGTGTTATTATCCGGCCACAAAAAACAACTCAGAAATACTTATCCCAGAGCTAAACGTGATTAATGCAGCAGTGTTTATAGCAAGCTATTAAGAACTTCGCATCAGCACAAGGAATTCTAGCCAATGCGGTGATTCTGGGAGGGAGAAGATGCCATGTGAAGGTGTCCCCATAGCTCACAGGCAGAGCAGCACCCCTTATATTTCCCCCTCCCCAGGTAGCAGGTAAATAAGAGAACAGGGACTCACCTTATCGATGAATGATGCAAACTTGTTGTTGAGAGCCTTAATCTGCTCTTTCTCATCGGACCGCACTCTCTGGAACTCGGGGTCGACTTGCAGTTGTATTGGCCTCAGCAGGTTGGTGTTGACATGGACCTCCTCGATGCCTCTGATAACACCAGCCTGTCCAGACCCTTGTCCACCAAAGGCACTTCTACCAAGGCCTCCTCCAAGCACCTCTCTGCCTGAACTTCTTCCATACATGCTACCAAGCCCTGCTTCACCACCTTGGAAAGCTCCCACAAAGTATCTTCTTCCACCAAAGCCGCTATCAGGATATCTCCTACCACCAAATCCCAGACATCTCCCATATCCTCTTCCATCTGCTCCATAGCCTCCACCAACGGAAACATACCTCAACCCATCAAGGTTGTGGAGACTCCTGCTGCCATAACCATACCCGTACCCATAACCACTGTATCTTCCTTCTCTATCGTCTTGACGATGGCTTAAAGTAGATGAACTTCTTCCACCACCCAGTGTGCCACAGTGAGCAGAAGAAGAACTGAAACTCCCGTCCCCAAATCTCCAGAAATGGCTCATAGCGTTAAGAGAAGACAAGCACGCAGGTGGGGAAGGTTGTAAATCAGGAGGAGAAGTAAGAGTGCAGGATCCTCGGCTCCTCTGGTAGGGGTTACGGAAGTTCTCCTTTATACGTTCTGGAGAAGTCAATCTCCATTCCGTGGTAATTAGCAGGTCTGTTAATCTTATTATTGGGTTTGGTTCATCAGGCAGCAATTAATAGCTGCCTGAACAGAGGTCAGAGTAAACAACACACACCAATGGAGGAATTGTGAAATTCCCCAAATCCTGCTTGACTCATGAGCTTTGGTCACATGAGATTTCCTTATCTCATTAGCCTGCCCTCCATCATTAATTACAGCTCGCACAGTTATCTGTGCACGGTGCCATGGTTTACCCGCTCTCAAATCTCTCCACCTCTTTTGGCGTTTCATTTCGTGAGGCAGAAGGTCTTGATGTTGTCCTCGTATTGACTCGGGGGAGGTTCACCTTGCTTCACCGCATCACCAGGAGTACCTGCGACAGAGAGCAAAGACTGCCTTGGCTTCCCATTCTCTCTTTTCTCTCACTCCCACTATATCCACCCATGAGTAAGTCTTGCTTCTGCAGGGGGAGGGGAGGTGTTGCAACCTGGTCTTCTTGCTAATGACATAAAAAGAAATCTGACTTTAGTTCATAAACCTGCCTTTAGGTCATGAAATGCTGTCTAGAAAATAGAAAAAAATTTATTCTCTCTGTGTCAATTTTAGGCTAAATAAATGGATACAGAATTTTAAATGGAAAAGAGAAAACTCTCAGATAAACTTTAATCAATTAAACCAAACTTTTAACTATTCAAGATTATGATAAGGTCACCTTGGGGAACAGATGACCCATCGCTTCCACAGACCAGGACTCTTGGCCCTTCTGCTGTGGTTGCTCGTGCTCTTCCATGTGGGAATAGTTGGACCATGAACTGAAACTGCCTGTTTGGGGGGTTTTTTAAAGGCCAGTTACTGGATAGCTGAGATATCAAATACAGAGCTGGGCTCCAAGCTTTTCTGCACAGATTCTCCCACTCAGCCTCTGACTGATCCGTCCCTCTTTCCTCTCCTCGTATCTGTGCAAGACTCCACCTCTCCAGTCCGAGCACACTCCAATGCAGGACTCAACGGCCATGGACACATTAAAAAGCATTTGGGAGCCAAGTGCTGCTGCTGAAAAAGCCACTGAGAGTCCTCAGTCTTAATATAACAGAATCCCAGGATGGTTTGGGTGGGAAGGGACCTTAAAGCCCACCCAGTGCCACCCCCTGCCATGGGCAGGGACCCCTCCCACCAGCCCAGGTTGCCCAAAGCCTCATCCAGCCTGGCCTTGAACCCCTCCAGGGATGGGGCACCCACAGCTTCTCTGGGCACCCTGGGCCACTGCCTCACCCCCCTCAGCATCCAAAAAATCTTCCTCATTTCTCATCCAAACCTCCCCTCTTCCAGCTTCAGCCCGTTCCCCTGGTCCTGTCCCTGCACCCCCTGATCCAGAGCCCCCCCAGCTCTCCTGTAGCCCCCTTTCAGCACTGGGAGGTGCTGGAAGGTCTCCCCGGAGCCTTCTCTTCTCCACGCCGACTCTCTCAGCCTGTCCTCGCACGGGAGCTGCTCCAGCCTCGGCCCATCTCCATGGCTCCTCTGGCCCCGCTCCAGCAGCTCCGTGTCTGTCCTGTGCTGAGGACCCCAGAGCTGGGGGCAGCACCCCGGGGGGGGTCCCCAGAGTGGAGCAGAGGGGGACAATCCCCTCCCTCACCCTGCTGCTCACGCTGCTGGGGATGCCCCCAGGACACGGGGGGTTTCTGGGCCACAAGCACACATTGCCGGGTCATGTCCAGTTTTTTGGGGTATTTTATCTCAAGAAGACAACCGAGGTCTGCTACACTGTCTCGCAAAGCACTGGTGGAACAATTTCCAAATGTCAAGCACCTCCCCTTTGTCCCCTGCACAACATTAAGACGAGCTGGGATTCACTGGAGGGGATGCTCTTCCTTCCAAAGGTGTTAGATAAAGCCGCACCATGAACCCTTCAATTACATAGAGGTTATGTGGTCAGGGCTTTGTAATCTTTGTTCTGGCTCTATTTGGAAAGTGCCTCGTAAATCCCCTAAATGAAAGGTTTGTAGGGAGAGGTTATTAGGCCAGCTATTATTAAACCAGCTGAAATATCTTGAGGTGGACAAGATTTTGGTCTATCAGCAACCAGATAAAGGGCTTTTCCCAGAAGAAGACACAGTGTTTTCCAGATGAAGAGTACTGCTTTTCATTTAGCAAACTTGGTCTCATAGCCTTACCCCAGGGGTGACCAGCTGGTAGCCCAGACCTTCCGTCTGTGCTGTTTGTGCTACATATCTATATAAAAATCTCTCTCTATAAAAATCTGACTGGGATGGAGAATTCTGTGTTCTGCTGGAAAGAATAACTATGGTGAACAGAAAAAGTGTGTAATAAACATGATTTTAAATGTGAGTGGGGGGAAACCTGGAAACAGACCCATCTCAAAACATCTGGGCAAAGTTTACCAGAGCATTAAGGTATTACACAAAAATCTTTCCTATTCTAGTTTAGTTGGGCTCAGTAGTTTCTGGATGCTGGTGCACCTTAAGAGAAACAGTGTAAACCATCCTCCTTCACTCCCATATTTCAGTCAAGCTGAAAGATGCTTTCAGTACCTTTTTCCGCTCCCTGCAAAATTCTGTGTAGGACAAACTGTGTCTGAACAATGCTGAAATCCAAACTCCTGTGACTGTCGTGGTTTAACCCTCAGCATCAATAAACATCACACAGCCACTCACTCACCCACCCTCTCCCATTCCCAGAGAATGGGGGAGAGAATTAGAAGGGCAAAGGAAAATAAGACTCATGGAGAGAGATAAAGCAATTTATTAATTGAGCTGTAATAAAATTAAAGAGTAATAATGATAATAATAATCATATTTACAATATATGCAAGTGAGTGATACACAGTGCAACTCCCTACCACCCGCTGACCAAGGCCCAGCCCATTCCCAGGTAATGATCCCGGAGCAGAGAAAGTCCCAAAACCACAGTCCCGCAAGAGAGTGGGACAGTGAGCGAGATGTTCCCAGAAGACCCTCCAATTTACACTAAGTATGATGGTGAATGATATGGAATATTCCATTGGACATTGGATTTGTTGCTTTACCTGTGCTCCCTCCCAGTTTCTTGTGCATCTGCAAATTTGTCAAAGCATGGGAGGCTGGAAATGTCCTTGGATTCCCCAAGAAAAACCCAAAACATTAGTGTGCTATCAACATTCTTCTCAGCACAAACCCAGAACATAACCTCATACTAAGAAGAAACTTAAATCCAGCCCAGCTGAATTTAGGACACTAAAAACAAATTTAACTCTAAGCCAGCTGAGAGCAGCACAATGACCTTGGAGCCATTATTAGGCTCATTTAAAGATTAGGAGGACAATATATGACTTCATGTCAGGAGGAGATGAGACTCAGTGGACATGACCCGTGATTTTCCTTGTGAGGTCTGAGCTAAAACATTCCTTTTGCTTCCCTTAACTCACAATTCCTCAGCAACATGCACAAGAGTTTCTAAAGGGCTGCTGTTCTTCAGCTGTCTGTTGAGCTTATGAGTGATGACTTTGGGCACAATTCATCTTCATCCCTCCTCTGTCCATTTTGAGAGTGGCTCATGCCAATGCACACTGCATCAGGCCATACTTCAGATCATCCACATGGATCTCGGAAGGAAGTGTTATGATGGAGGGCTGGGAACACCCACAGACCAAAGAGGCCAGCTCCATGGTTAGATGATGTCTGTCCAAAATCATTGCCCTAAACACCTACATCAGCTCGCTGCATGAAGCAAACCAGGTGGCAATTCATCCAGAACCACTGCACTGATCTCTGAGGAAGCCGTGTCCTGCTTGACAAGACCTCCTGCAAACCCTCCATGAGAAGAGCAGCCATCCTGCCCCACGTGCCACATAATCCAGAGCATGGTGTGTAGGCGGATGTTGTGATCGTCACTGGCACCAGCTCAGCCTTGGCACAACAGACCAAGTCACACCTGAACCTGTTGAGCTGGCTCCAGAAGCAGCAATGCCTCCCGAGAGAGGTTCACGCATCCTGCGGATGAAGGGGGAGCTTCCTGTGATACCTTCCTCTTCCCTGCAGTGAGTTGGCGTTGCTCTTGGATGCGCCTGGGTATCTTCTGCTCTGATCCTTTAAAAGAAACAGCAAAACAGTTCCCAGCGTCCATGACCAAAAGGACCACGGGTTCAGCCGACATCCTTACCACCAAGATGGGTTATCACAGAATCTACCAGGGAGCGGAAGCCTTCAGAGGCTCTTCAAATAACCACGTGGTCAACCTGGCTTTTTGTTGTTGGGGACTTTTAAGATAAATTTAAATTGCATCCCAAAAGTTATTCAAGTAAAATTGACTGTCGGGGCTTCTTGTATAGCTGTTGGAGCAAGCACAGAATGCCCACATGTCATTCCTCCCATCCAGAACAGTCTGTGAAGCAGGTGATGATGTTCCTCCCATCTAGAGAAGCCTCTCAGAGAGGTGGCATGAGCTCTCTGGATGGTCTTGTTTCCCACCATGGGGGAACCTGGAGAGCTCCCTCAACTCCTGACTTTCAGGTGGTGAGAGTAACACGGGTAGAGCCATCCTCCA